ACCAAACTTCTAAGGCAAGCCAGCCAAGAAACCCTGAACTTGGGAAGGGGAGGGTCGTACAGCCATGTGTCCTGGACTGTGTCCCCTGTGGGAAGCTACAGTGGTTGTGGGAATGCGTTAAGCATCAATAGAGCATTCTGGCCTGAGTAGGGACACCCAATGAGAACTGAGGAAGCTCTCTAGTCACAATGGAAGCAACAAGACACCCACGGGAATAGAGGAGCCGGCTTCTTCTGACTCCAGAGTTTCCTGACTCCTCCCGCTGAAAGCAGGAAAGGGAACCTGGAGAACGGAAAGCCACAGGGTATTCCCACCTGCAAAGTGAGGGGAAAGGTGCAATGGGGTGTGAAGGTGGCCAGGGAACAGAGCAGGATGCTGAGAGTGAGAACCAGGGAGCTAGGATTTTGAAAGCCACAGGAACAGTGCACAAAATCTCTGAGCCAGGGGTCTGTCTGGCTTATGGGTTCTGTCCCCAAGACTAACTGTGAGACCCTGCATTTGTTCCAAGGAAGAAGATGCAAGGAAGTATGTGAGGAAGGCTCTAGTGGAGTGCCAACCCCTGGGACTGCTAAATTGTGAGGTGAGGAGAACAGAGGTGGTAGTGAAGAAAGGCTCTATGGAAAGATGTAATACAGCTATGTGCTTTCAGAGCTCTGGAGGGAAAAGGACAGAGGACACCTGCTGGTTTTCCATCAGAGATAAACCGGCATGTAAATGAAAGCCAGCACACACTTTCAGGAACTGCGAGTCCATTCTTCTTCTTGCTTAGTACCAGCCAGACCCGCAGTGCACTCCACTGTAACATACCTCTCCTGAGGACAAGGGACACACACGTGAGCTCTGTGCCCTTGAACATGCCCTCTGAGCCTCAGCTGTCTTACCTGCCAAAGAGGAAAACAATGCCTGACCTTCCTACCTCATTTAGTTGTTGTAAGGTAATAATAATGATAATAACAGCTAATCTTTGTAAAGTGCATAAATATTGTTACATAGACTGTATACCTAGTGTTCCCTAGTGTTACACAGTGCTACATATTACATAAACATTGTATATATACAGGGTCTGGCACAAATAATGCTCCTTTTTATTAAGAAAAAATTATTACACAATCATAAGCATGTAATTCGGTAACATAACAGTATCACACTCAAGCACACCATATGACATTTTAGGTGAAATGTTCAAATTGCTGTCCATCTTGTGCAAGACATTCACACACCCTACCAGCCACACTCAAGCAAGCCTTACTTTAGCCAGACCCTGTGTTAACTCAGTCCTCAAAACACCTCTATGAAATTGGTAGTTATTGTCCCCCCTCTTGACAGAGAAGGAAACTGAGGCACAGTGCAGTGTCAAAACTTTCTCAATATCACTCAGCAGAGCCAACCTGGGATCTGAACCCAGAAATATCTCGCCCCAGAGCCCATGCTCCTAACCTCTTTGTTATATGACATGATGTCAGAAAGCACTGGATGTGCTTTAAATGAATGGTGCATTCTCATACTTGTTAAAACTGCTCCCGCTAGGGAGGAAAGCAGAATGAGAATTCGCGGGGTGAGGATGGCACCTCCAGCCTCGGAACTGTGATCCCTCACTGTGCCAGGCTTTCCAGAGGAGAGGGAAGGGACAGCAGGTCCTCCGGCCCCTCCCAGTGCAGGACTGGCTTCCTATGTTCTTTCTCAAATCAAAGTGTCTCTGCTGCCAAGAGCGGGTTTGTCTGTCTCCTGGAGACAGTGGTTGTCAAGCCTGGGAGAACAGCAAGCATGTCAAAAATAGCAGCACCAGCAGACTGCGTGGCTGCAATTTCCTTTTGAAATGTCGACTTAGCTCTCGCCAAAAGAGCCAGGGTCTGTCTACGCTCCCTGCAGCCTGCAGCTGAGGCTGCTTAAGGTTCCATGATGTTTGCTAGGGGTGGGCAAAGAGTGTCTGCTGAAAAATCCTCTCCATAGCAACAAAGATGAGATTGGAGCTGTGTTTAAAAAAATGCATTTGTCATAAACCCCACCATGGCTAGGCCCCAAACAGGTTAAGCAATAGCCACGGTGAGACCAGTATTAATGATACTAACTACAGTGTGGGCCCCCTTTCCTCTTTTGTTCTGGAGCTGAGGGAGTCACTGTCCTGTCTGGATCACATTTGGAAAGCAGTCACTGCTAGGTTTAACCCACGCCCCCTTAGGCTGCCAAGGGGATGGGGACTGAGAAGGGAGGAAGAGGCCGGGTAAAGTCCTTTCCCTGGGAGCGCAGAGCAAATGGACATGAAAGACATGACAATCTCCAACCCCTCAGAGGCCTCTCATCCAGACAGAAAAGTGGCTCATCGCGAGGCACAGGGACATGAGGACCAGGAGCCCATCTGTCGTTATTCCCAGTGGCCTGACCCTGGGAAGCTCCATCCCCTGGTTAGCCCCAAGCTCCAGGCCTGATTCTGTCATGAGGCATCTGTGCAGCCTGAGGGGGCTGAGTATGGAGTGGGATGGAGAGAGGAAATCCTACAGTTTAAAGAAGGAATTTCTTTTCCTCCCCTAAGTGACCTTGACAAGAGAGAACTGGACCACACTTTGCTTCCTGGGGCAATAACACACAGTCACAACCAATCCGAGCCAGGACATCAGTGCCAGCCAAACTGTCGGGGGGACAATATTCTCTGGGAATCTAGTTGGCATTTACATACAGATGCCGGGCAACAGAAATACTGCCAAAGCAAGGGTTCAGCCAGTGGAGAAGGAAAGATAAGCAGCAGGACTGGAAGGTGTCATGTGAAGAAAAGCACCAAGGGGAGGGAAAGAAGGGGTCAGGGAGTGAAAGGCAAGTAAGAGCAAGAGAATCATTCTTCTGTTTGCCCAGAGCACCCTACTGCTGGGCCCCCTCAGCAGGCAGTGAAGGGTGAATGGCTGCTTCAGGGAAAGGGAGGAGGAAGGAGGATGAGGCCCTGACTCCCATGAGATTCCTTAAGGAAGTCTGTGTTTACAGGTGCAGAGCTTAGGTGGGGTATTTTGGTTTGCTTGTGGGGTTTTTGTTTTCGTTTTTGTTTTGCCAGCAAAGTGTGAGTACCTTGGACAAGTTCACTGCCTTAGTCCTGTGTAATGAATAATTTCCACCATACTTATTGTAGTTTAATAATGCTAACTATGCTGTACATTTACCTAAAACAGTTTGACCTGTCTTTAGAGTGAAACAAACAAATAAATATGCAAATCCCACCATGGTTTGATTGTCAAAAAAAATCAATTCTTGGCGCAGTACGTGAGTAGCAAGGAGCAACTGTGAAAGGCCTGAAAGTGTCCCCATGTGGCAGAAGAAAAAAATGTTATCTCATCCTGGATACCAATTTGGTCCACCTTAAAGATGCTAAACTTCTCAATTTTTAAATCCAAACCATTCCTTCAGCCAAGATGTGGCTCTCCCAGATTATTGCACTTTTTTACACAATTGGTGATGTTTTGGGTTAATTTATAGAGTTGTGCAACCTTCACCACCATCCTGTTTTAGAGGTAACTTCCATTACCCCCCCAGAATACCCCCCCGCCACTGCCTCTGTCCTGGTGCAGGTGGGTCTCACCCTATGCTCTATGACCTCCAACAAGAATACACTAGCCCTCTTACAGGCTGGCCGGTGGATCTTATCCATCTTTTCAAGCGGTGTCCCCTACACCTCAAACCCCTGGGATTTATGTCCTAGCTTTTGTTCTGTCTTCAGTGTACAAGAGAGACAGCTGGGTGCTCTGAAAACCTTCCAGTGAACTAAGATCACCCCTGAGTTAAGGCTTTTTCTAGGCTAATTCCAATCTTATACCTTCCTAAGTCATCTTTTCTCTGTGCATTTTATTAACTACTGTATCTATGTCTTGAACACCCCTATAAGGATTTTAAGGTTGAGAGACCCTAAGATGAATATATTCAGTGCTATATGGCAGAGTATTTATCTGAGACTTATCAGGTTTTCTCCCCCCCCCCCTTTCTCTTTCTCTCATCCTTGCAGGTTCAGAACATTTGTGGAAGATACTTTTCTAAACCCACAGCAATCTCATCTTGCTTTATAAGTTCAGGACTTCCCTCCACAGAGGTGAGCACAGTAGGAACAGATGGTCTACTGAGATGTCAAGGGAAAGGGAATCCTGGAGAACAACTGCCTTAGCAAACACAGCTAGTCCTAGAGTCCCAGATGTGACCTCCACAGAAACATACAGGTGCTCCCGGCCACTAAAATGGTGACAAGGGGAAGAGAGAAAGAAAGATATGCACAGAGGGAAGAAGAGGTTAAAACAAAAGAAGGGAAAAGTGAGAAGAAAAAAATGCAGAGCAAGGGAGGATGGAAAGAAGGGGAAAATGCAAAGAAGAGACAATTAGAAAGGGTGGGGCAAATGAGCAGTAGGTAAAGAGAAATAGAGAAGGAAACTGAAGTAGATGGAGTCAAAGAACACACACAGAAAGAGAGCAAGGCGGCTGCTAAGTAAAGGAAACCCACACCCAGATTTTCCCCCAACCCTCTCCCCAGCCTTCCCCGCCCTGAGTTCTAATTTGGCCCAAAGGACTGAGCCCATACAAAATTCCCCAGCAGTGGGACCTACCTCAGATGCACTGAGGGCCAGCTGTCCCTTCCTCTCATCTTGGAGATGATCAGGCAGGAGGACTGTTGCATGTCTCTGTTGAGCCTAAGAGATCCGGGAAGACCTGTGGGAGCTGCTGCTGGCTGGAGTCGGGTGTAAGGATGGCCTAAACCTGGCCTTTGCTGGCAGCTGTGAAATCGCCACCCCAGCTGTCACAGTAACCCAGGGTGAATATTCTCTTGGTGCTCAGGGCACAAAATCCACATAAATAGGCTCAGAGTCAGAGAGGGATCACTTGGCAAAATCCTCCACAGAAACTAGGTCAGGTCACAGCCTCTCAGTTTTTCTTCCACATGTTAAGAAGAACCACCTATGAAATTCCCCCCAGGAGCTAGACTGTTCCATGGAGGGCAGGGGGCGGGGGGGGGGGGGAATATCATTTTTCTCCATGTCTCTTAGAACTGGGAGGAGCCTCCCTCTGAGGAGATGAAAACTCCATGACACTATTATGGATTAAAACCTTATGACTCTCGACAGGATCAAGTCCCCTCCAGTGTTCCTCTTGTCATTTTGAAAAAGATAATATTGACATTGGTTTAACTGGCAGTTGCTTAGCATTCAAGTTTCTAAAGAATCAGAGGTGAGATGAGGCAGCTTCAATGACTAGGTAGGAAACCAGGAAGAAAGGTCCAGGTGCAAGTTTTAGGGACCTGCTTTGTCAAAGGTCATGCATTCCTGTCCTGGCACTACCAGACCGTAACCCAATACGGGGAGATGTCCCATTTCAGAAGCTAGAGATCTGCAGTCTCCTATTCTCCCTTGCTGCCCAAATCAGAAGATAGAGAGAACAGACTGGAAGGTTGCTACGGCAACTAGAGTCCCTGGAGAGCCCAGCACTCCACGAAACCTTTACTTTCGGGCATGCTCTGACTTTAAAAGGAAATGTTTTTTATTAGTAATGATGATGAAGATGATCACATATAGAGATACATGCCTACATGTTCCAACATTTACCCTCGGCTGGGCACTTCTCCTTTCCCCAAATGCCCAGGAGTAACTGAACAGATTTGAAGAAGCAGCACTTTATGGCCCCAGAGCAGGTTTCTGAATCATGAACTCCTCTATCTCCTACTGTGTTTCAGGTTTGGAGAAGCTAAACTCCCAATCAAGGTAGCCTCTGGTCCTGGAAGGGTCCCGCTGAACCTGCCTAAAGAGCAACCTCCTTCCTGAAGGGTAAGAAGAAAGACAGGCCAGTTCAAGAGACTAAGAAGGGACTTAAGGAACTAAAGGCCCAGAGTGGCCTATTCTTGGGCTTTGGATTCAAGGCAGTAACTCTAGGGTGGGGAGAGGCTTTGCCTATGGGAGATGGGAGACAGGGTAATGAACTAAAAATCAAGTCCATTACCAAAATTCACACATTTGCATAGCATCATCCCCAGCTTCCCAGATGAGTTCATCGAACATTCCCCATGAGGTAGGGAGGGGAAGACATTGATGTTCCCATGTAATGGGTGGGGAAACTGAGGCACAAAGAGGGTGGCGCCAAAATTACCCTGTAATGCTGTGGCAAAATCCAGATTGAGATCTGGCACTCACAGGAGCCATAGTGTCTCTCAAGAAAACCCTCAAAAGGCTGTCCCTCATAAGTTGCTCTTTGAGAAAATTTTCTGTAACAAAAAATTCTCATCCAAGAGTCTTAAAGCATAGATATAAAATTAAAAACATGTTAACAGTCCTTTTGGTTTCTGAACTGTACCCAAAAGAGCTCAGAATAGTACATCACAGTTTATCAAGGCAGCAAACAAATGACAATGTAACCCGGAGAGAAATGGGGGAGGTGGGCAATGTGATGGAAGGCAGGAGTTTCACGATGGAAGGGGAGGGTTTAGTCCAGTGGTGACTTGCCACCTTTCCTTACCAGTTAGAGCAAGTAGGCTGCAGCTCCAAGGGGCAGGTCAGGTAAATGTTTGCTTGACTCAGTGAAAAACCTCTAGCAGTGTGGTTGTCAGCAAAGAAAGAATGCTTCTTCCTTACCCTAAACCACCTATTCCATTCCCAACAAGACGGGAAGAGCCCCACACTAGCATCCAATGTGTGCTTTCACCTCTCTGCAGGCTTGAGCTGGAGTTTGTTTCAGAAAGCCTTCAACTGTCCTAAATCTAATTCAGAAGAAGAAGGGTGGAGAGCTAGAGACGCTGGGGAAAAGCGAGGGAGAAAAACCTGCCGTCTGCAAAAAGCCGTCTGCGGCTTCCTCTGCCCCTCTGAGATGACAGTATCTGTTTAAGTGACACCTCTCTTCAGATTATGTGGACATGTCAGTTGCCTGACTCTGTTTGGCCATTTCTTCTGGCTGTGTGGTTCCCTTTCACTAGTTCCTCTGCACAGGAAGGCACTTGCACATAGAGTATTTGGCTCTGAGAAAGAACCTTCCTGGAAGCTAGAGAAAGTCAGGGGATCATGGTGAGGGTAGGAGGGGCAGGACTAAATGTAGACCAAATACTGATGTCTACTGTGTCGGAGTACACCTGGAAGAATCCACTGGCCCCTTTGGTCCAGGACTCACATTAATGTAATGTCCTCCAGATGGCCAAGTTTAATTGTAGTTTCTCTAATTCCACCCAAGATTAGAGATGAATAACATATTTTGAGGCTGTGCATCTAAAGGCTCTCCCAAGGTCCCTCTGCAGGATGACCAGCAGGTGTTACAGAGCCCTGGAATGAAACCACAGGATGAGTATGATTTCTATCCTCTGGCTTCTGCCAGTTACCACCTGGCCAGAAGCTAAGACAAGTGCATGACCCAAAACAAAGGGCATTGGGGACAGAAACAGGACCCAGGTGTAACCTGGTTTCCATCCAATTGACATTGCCATACCTACAGCTATTAGAAGTCTAGAACATGAAAAATCAGAGTCTTGAAGGAAAATCAGACAGAAATCTCACCCACATAACAGAAGATAGGCATGAATGGGTGGCACCATTGGCATTTCAAAAATATCACTTAGATGGGTAAAATTTGAATGCTGCAGGGACCAAGCAACAAGGTTGACAGTCCAGGTATTTGGTCCTGGATGCCATGCACTGGGGATTGGGGAAAGAGTCAGGAAGTCACCTGAAGCTCAGGTGAGAGTTGTGGAGAATGAGAAGGAACCCTAAGAAATTATTTGCTCAGGGTCACCCTTCTCGTGCAGGCCCTTCCTGCACTGGTCAAACCTCAGTGAGCATCCTTTTCTCTGCATACATCCGATGTGGAGTGGGAAGGTAGCTGGGTCTCCGTTCCCGGGTGGCCTCAGAGAATTCAGCTTTGCCAAGTCCATTGTCGGCTGCCTTCAGGTCCGGTGCAGGTTGCCCACAAGTGACATGGGTGTACTGGCCTTGCTCCTCTTGCTCGGTCTCCCGGTGGTAGAAGTAGTTGAAGTTGGAGACAATGACGGGCACTGGTAGGGCGATGGTGAGGACCCCAGCAATGGCACATAGCGAGCCCACAATCTTGCCGCCAACTGTCATGGGGTACATGTCCCCATAACCTACTGTGGTCATTGTAACCACTGCCCACCAGAAGGCATCCGGGATGCTGGGAAAGAGTGAATCATCATCATCAGCCTCTGCGAAGTAGACGGCACTGGAGAAGAGGATGACTCCGATAAAGAGGAAGAAGATGAGCAGGCCCAGCTCCCGCATGGAGGCCTGCAAGGTCTTGCCCAGGATCTGCAGCCCCTTAGAGTGGCGGGAGAGCTTGAAGATGCGGAACACCCGGACCAGGCGGATCACTCGGAGGATGGCCAGAGACATGGCCTGCTGCCCGTTCTGGCCGCCCCCTCCACTGGCTGACTGCTGCTCCTGCTGCTGCACCAGCTCTGTGCCCAGGGTGATAAAGTAGGGGAAGATGGCCACCAAGTCGATGATGTTCATGATGTTGCGGAAGAAAGCGGGCTTGCTGGGGCAGGCAGAGAAACGCACCAGGAGCTCAAAAGTGAACCAAACAATGCACAGAGTCTCCACCAGAAAGAAGGGGTCGGTAAAGAAGGAGCCCCCAAGAGTACTTAGTGAGGATGAGCCCCCTGCCCCCGCTCTTCCAGGAGTGATGCCAGGATGAAATGTATAGGTATCATCTTCATCCTCCTCTTCCTCCTGACTCCCCCTGGAAATTGGGGAGACTCTGCTCACACCACCACCACCATTGCTTCCACCTCGACCATCTGCACGAAACTGGGGCAAAGTCTCCAGGCAAAAGATGACAATGGAGATGAGAATGACCAACACAGAGACGATGGCGATGCCCCTGGCGGGCCCAGAGCTCTCCGGGTACTCGAAGAGAAGCCACACCTGGCGCTGGAAGGGCTGGGAGGGCAGAGGCTTCTCGTCCTCACCACCTTCGGGCAGGCAGCCCTCGTCCTCCCGAAAGGCCGCCAGAGCCTCATCCCCCAGTTGGTAGAAGCGGATCTCCTCCAGGAAGATGTCCAGGGGCACGTTGACCGGCCTTCGCAGCCGGCCTCCCGACTGGTAGTAGTAGAGGATGGCGTCGAAGCTGGGCCGGTTTCGATCGAAGAAGTACTCGTTCCTCAGGGGGTCGAAGAAGCGGACGCGGCGGCCTGGGTCTCCCAGCAGAGTGTCGGGAAAGAGCGACAGGGTGCGTAATTGTGTCTCAAAGCGCAGCCCGGAGATGTTGATCACCAGCCGCTCGCTACTACAGCAACCCCCGCCCGCGCCGTCCTCCGGGAAGTCTCCCGCATCCTGTTGCTCCCCCTCCGGCCCACGGATCTCCCCCGGCGCCGCCAGCGTAAGGGATTTCTCCGATCTCATGTCCTCCCCGCCGTGCTCTGCCCGCCGTGCTCTGGAACAGCGCCCCCGATACAACCTCTGGAGCGCAGCAGCGCTTCCCAGCGCCCAGCTGAGCCCTCTTTTCTAGGGTGGGGCTCGCGCTCCTTGGAGCTAGCCGTCTGACTTGCGGTTGGGTCCGGGAGCCCAGAAGCCCTGGTCCCTGCAAGGCTAGGTCAGGGGAGGTGCCCTGGGTGCAGAGGATTTGGCTTTGCGCCTCCAGTTGTCCGTGCCTGGGTGCTAGAGCTTACTGGGATACCTGGAACAGCAAACTGGCGCGTGTGATACTGGATGTCCGAAAAGACGCTCGGCTTCGCCCACTCCGTGCCTGAGACTGGGCTCCGGGACGCTGGGGTCCGCAATGGGAGCACTTCCCAGCTCTCACTGCGCTTCTCCAACAGCTCAAGTCCCCAGACTGCGGGTACCAAAGCGCCAGATGCGCCTCCTTCAGCTCCGCTAAGACTCCTGGCGGGGCTCGGCCTCCGCCCTACGTCCACCTCAGGCTCCGTCTAGCCAAGGTCGCCGTTCCCGCGCCACAGCTGCCACCTCCTCCCTAGGGGCCTAGCCGCGGGCCCAGGAAAGGGCCCTGGGGCTGCCCCGGCGCCGAGGCGCGGGGACCCACCTCCCCACAGCTCTGCTGCAGCCACCGCAGCTGCAGCGGCTCGGCTCTCCGCTCTGTCCTTCCTTCCCAACACTCACTCCCCAAGTGACGTGGCAGGCCCCGCCTGCTGCCCCCTCCCACCCCACTCCCACATCACACCCCTCGCCTGGCCAGGGCTGCTGCTAGCCAGGGTACTATGGGAATAGACACACACTTGGCTCACCAGTAATCTTTCCCGCGCTCTCCGGGCACGCCTCTCCCTTCGCACGGTCACATTCACAGGCCCCCCTAAACAAACACCAATATCCTCATACCACACCCCCTCCACCCCCGTAATCAGCTTTTCTCAATGTCAATTTACAGCGTTGACCTGCGCAGTGCATTTCATCAATAAGAAAACACACCCCGCCCCACCACACGCACAGAGCACTGTGCCTCCACTCATCCAGAAATTTAATGAAAAAATCAAATCATTTTGCCCTTCTGTGTTTACAAGGATCTGTTTGCTAGTTCTCCAATCTCTACTGAAAAAAAAAAGTAGAGGAAGCATTTCTGAGATTTCTTAAGAGCTTCCAATTTAAATTGTACTCCTGTGTAAGTCCCCAGAGAACCCCATACCTCCCTTTGCAAACCTGGGAGGGCGTGGCTGCAAGTTTCCTAGGACTGCAAAGTGAGAGCAAAGAAAGGGGTTAGAAGTCACCCATTGCCTTTCCCATCAGAAGTTTTCCACAGGAGCTGGGAGTCCTGGGAACTTAGGTAGCAGGCCCAGTGAAGAATGAACCAGAAGACGGTGGCATCTCAGAGGGAAGTGCAGCCTGGAATTCATTTGCTCCCAGTCTCCCTTGGGAGGCATTTGGAATGTCTGCTTATGGTGCAGACAAGAAAAGGGGTGAGGGGAAAGGGTATGTAAGAGTGTTGATAAAAAAGTAATAGCTGTGTTTACTGAGCATCTAGTAGTGCTGGCCACCATCTAGGTGCTTTACCTGTGCTCTCTCCCTCACTCCTCACAACCCTATGAGAAAGATGGCCTCTGCTCTAGCTAATGTTACAGGGAAGACCCACCTGGCCATATCTGTGTAGGGACCAAATTTGTTCTTGATTATTTCCCCAACTTTCCAGGATGGAGGTGGTGAGAATGGTTTCCCATCCATTTCTGCCAAAGACCATATAGCCTTTTGCCACTGCATTAGACAGCTTGGTGTCTGATGGGGGAAAGCTGTTCTCATCTTTTCAGACTGCTACTCCCAGGTAAGGTTAACATTTGCTTCTCTGTGCCTCAGTTTTCTCCTTTGGGGTGTCTATGGCCAAATTAATGGGCTGACAACTGCAAGGTGTTTTGTGTTGCTTCTTCTGCATATTAGATCATTAGTCAGTGTTCATTGGTAACAACGATGGGAATGATAGGTAAAGGTACCCCGAGACACATGTCAGAATTCTTTGCATTGCATGACTGTTTTGAAACCACAGTGGCTCGCTCCCAGAGGAGTGGGGGAACAGGGAACAAAGTCTCCTTTGGGAAGAGTAGAGAAGAGGTCAGGTGGTGGGCAGGTAGGAGAAAGACTAGCATATCACTGAGTCTTCATTCTGTAGCCCTGTACCTCACCAGGCTTGCCAGGCAATAGTTTCTGCCTCCTTTCTATGCTTGTACTGTTGGTTTCCACTCGCTCCTCTCACCTTGCATGTTTCATCGAAAGGCGAGAAGGAGCAAGTGTTCCAAGTCACCCAGTTGCTAGTTTTCCTATTTACAGGCTATGTAATTAAGCAGTTTAGACTTCACCCAAGTAAGTTGTTCCATTCAAAAATTATTTTTAAAGGAGAGAAAAGGAGACCAACAACAAATACAACATAGAAGATACTATTTTACCCTTGTCCAATTATCTGTAATTATTTTCTGGGTTGTAAATTGATTGCTTATGATTCTTTTTGTCTTTGTTTTCAAAATTTGTAATGAAATTTTCACTTTCATGTTTGTTTTTATTATTGTAATTTTATTCACGAGTTTATCGACTAGGCCAACAACTCTTCAAGACAACCCTTGGAGGCACATGGGCCGGAACCTGCATTCTGCCAGAAGGGCACTCAGTCTAATGTGGCGGCAGGAGCCACCCTTCCAGTGCCCCTTGGGTTAAGCCTGCCAACCTACAGGCAGAGCTGGTGTTCCGTGTTTACCTTTACATGAGGCATAAGGCTGCACCCTGGGAGACACAGAGAGGTTCCCCTAGAGGGCAAAGCCATTAGCAAAGTCATGAATCAGAGTTCTGTTTTTAGTTCTTTTGTGAAAGAGAATCATTTCTTAACTTTAGAAAAGCCCTGTGCCTAAATCATTCCTCTCCAGCAAAGAGCAAGGGTAAAAATCACACCTTCAGAAGTGCCAGTTCCCAGGTGAAGGAACAGAAGTGGCACGACCCCATTCCAGACAGCGGCCTTTCCCCAGAATTCACTGAGCACTGATTTCATGACAGCACAGATTTTCCTTGTATCTGAATTCAGATGTTTGCAGTAATGGTACAGATCTTTCATTCATTTATCAAGTATTAATTAAGGAGCTGCTGAGTGCCCATCATAGTGCCAGATGCTGGAGATTTAGCAGTGATCTAGACAAACTATCTGTTCTAATGAGTTTACCTTTTCATGCAATAAATACATTCTAGATGGAAAAATTTAACACGGTAAACAATAAAAAAGATATTCACGTATTGTAGTAAATGCTCTGAGGAAAGTAAATGAGGTGTTGTGTCACAAGTGAACCTGAGAATTCAACTTTGAAGAGGGTGGTTGGGAGAGTTCCTCTCTAGAGACAATTTCCCAGCTGAAAATTCAAAAATGACAATGAGCCAGCCATGCTAAAAGCAGGGAAACAGCACTCTGGGCAGACAAGTGCAAAAAGCCCTGAGCTAGAAAGGTCATGGTTGTCCAAGGATGATAAGGCAGGCAATACACTGGGAAGAGAATGGGCAACAGGTGGGATGCACAGGATGAGGCTAAAGAGGAAGCAGGGGAACATTCTTGCTCAGGTTTTAACTTAAGGGTGATGTACATAAAACCAATGATGGCTCTCAAACAGAGGAGAGACTCAGTATGATTTACATAGAAGCTGTCAGGAGAATAAATTACAGAGGGGCAAAAGAAAAAATAAGAAGACCAGGAAGTTGTAGTGGCCTGGGGAAGAGGTGATGGTGACTTGGACTAGGGTAAAGGTAGGGTGAATATAGACAGAGTGAGAAGGAGACAGGGGTGAGGGTGGGAAGGGCTTAGAAGATAGAATCATCAGGAACTGGTGATGAATTATTATGAGAAATAAATAATGAATGCCATGTTTTTGGCCTGAGCAAGTAGGTAGGTTGGTGGTGCCATTTATTGAGAAAAGGGAGATGAGGGGTTAAACATGCCTTTGTTTTTAGACATATTAAATTAGAGAGGCAAATTGGACATGCAAATGAAGACATCAAGGAGGCTATGCTTATCTAAGTCTGAAATATGGTAGAGAAATTTATTATTTAGAAATTTAAAATATTTAAAAATATTTAAACCCATGGTACCAAAGTCTTCTGAAGACATAGAATATACACAATGAAAAGAAATATAACCAAGACCAAATCCTTCACATATTCAACAACTTGCAGTTCAAGTTCAGAAGAAAGAGGAGCCAGCAAAGAAGACCAAGGGATTGTCATGATGTAAGAGGAAAACCAAGAGAAGGGGTTGTTGGAAACCAACAAGTGGGACTAGACCCCCAAGGCTCCCATCCTCCCAAGCCCATGCTGACCTTCTAGTTGAACACAAACTACATCAGATCAGGAATATGTGGTGGGAAGAACAAGGTGCCATTAGGGAAAATCATCCAAAGACAATGTATGTGCCAACCAAGATGAATTCATATAATGTGGCACACAATTTAATTATTTATGCTTCCATCTCTCTCCTGGATCTGAAAATGTACTCAAGGTATATAAATGATCATTTTATTCCATTTTCCAGGCTTCTCTTAGTACATTTTTTACCTTTCTCTGTGTAGTGTGTGTGTGTACACATGTACTCACCTGTCATTACCCCAGTAGTAAGATCCTTTTAGTTTTCCTCTGGGGAGAGAGGGTGGTGGTCAGAAGCTTAGTCTTATTTCTCTGAATAATCTCTGGGAATGGTTCGTTTCACTGCCCTGTTACCCACAGACATGTGTGGAAGGAAAGAGTAGTAAGTAGCCAACTCCCTCAGTTTCCACTGAGTAAATACCTTCCCAGTATACACACTGCATGCACAAGTATACACACACCCTCCCTAAGAAGAATAACCCCTCTCTTTAGCTTTCTGCTGTAGAGAGCAAACCACACAGTGATTATTGTGGGCAGGGGTGATGAGTCAGACACTGTGTCCTTCATCTTACTGTCTCACCTCTGGGCAAGGCTCACTGCCCCAGACCTTCTGTTCTTCAGGATGACCAATGTGGAAGTTCCTCTGACCAGAAGAAAACCTCCCTCATGACCCAGCCCCCTTCTTCCTGGGTCATTTTTACTCATTCTCTCAACCTTCCCTCATTTTCTTTGCTGGGGAGATGAGGGAAGGAAGTTTTGAATCCCAGGGTAAATGGGCAGAATAATGAGCAAGTCTATATTCTGCACACAATTTTTACTATTCTTCTCTTGCTCCCCTCCTTCTACACAGACACACACCCCAAATTTAGTCATCAAAGACTTACAGTAAAAAGAAATCAATTACATCAAATAATTATAAAAAAAGAAATTGATTTCCTGTGAATAGCACCCGCTGGTTCTACAAACTAATAGACATCCACTACCTACACTTGATAGGATAACTCTAACACCGAAAGTCCCTTCTACTAGTTTAGTTTTGGAAGCATGGTTTGGAAGCACCATGACCATTTCCCTCCTTCTGGAACCAAAGTGCACAAAGGGAAGGACAAATGCAAATATATATTCTGTTAACAAGCATCATTTATAATTAGCTGCTTAGCCAAAGTTTTGATGATGAGGAGGAGAATAATGATGATATGGCTCATGATAACGATACTAAAA